AACTCTGTAAAACTGAAAGGCTTTTAGGTATCACACCTGCCTCTGTGAGTCCAGAAGCTATACCCATACTCTGTAAGCATGGCATTGACTTATAGGAGAACTCATGTGGCTTTAGTGCTTTAGCTTTTCGAGGCAGGCAGATAAAAGTTCTTTTTGGAGAACTGCAGGCACTGAAACTAAGGATAGGAAAAAAGGAGCAGTAAAAAGCTGAGAGGCTGTTCTCAGTTTTCTGCTGAATGTGTACATAGTAAGCCTGACCTATGGATACTTTAACCTTCCAAGTGCTTTTGATTTTGACATCTGTGTCATGCTGTGTCCCTAGCACCATTAACTTAAAGCTGGCATTCAAATATTATTTAACCTCTAAAAATTATTTTATTTAACACTGTCATATAATTGAATAAAAAATGCTGACATACACAGACCAACTCATATTGTTTCTAGCAATATCATCTGAGCAAACCGGTCTAGTGTAAGGTGTCCCTGCCCATGACAGGGGGGTTGGAACTAGGTGGCCTTTAAGGTCTCTTCCAACCATTCTATGATTCTATGATTTCAGGATTTGAACAATCCCTTCATCTTGGTATATAGGAACAGAATTAAAAATTCTGTCGTTACAGTGACATTTTGCTGACTAAACAAAAGAAGCTTGTAGGGAATTTTTGTGTCACTATTATCCCAGGTAAATGAACATTGCTTTTCTGCAGTGAGAAGGGAAACAAGAAAGGAATCTAACTGATTTTGTTATTCAGGATTAAGGGAAATGTCTTACATAATAATAGGAGTAGTAAACTTGTGAGGCATTAAGATGTGGTCCCTATTTTAAAAATCTGCATTTCTGTATGTATATCTGTGAATATAAATGCTTCTACACTGAAGTGTTTAAACTGAATTTTAATTTTCGGGCAAAGCCTTCAAGATCTAAAATAGTATTTGATTGCAGGGAGATTCTCTGAAGCATCAGAGCATGCTCCTGTGTCTATGCAAATAAGCATACCGGCGTAGTCCTGATCACGTCATCCTTTTTCTCCTATAGATTTCACCTCTTTGCCTGCCTTAACTCACATCCCACTACAGTCTGAAGGAAAATGCTGTCAAGTGTCTTCTCAGCAGCCACTTGGACTGTGCCACGCCCCTGTTGAAATGCTATCATTGCTGTTCTTTACAGTTCCAGTTTCTTGGACTCTGCTGTTACATTTTAATGGAATTCATTATCCTTGGTGAAGCAAGAACACTCATTACTTCTGGTCCTACGAAGGACTCAGCTGAGTCAGGATGTTCATAGGAATTGCATACAAAACCACATTAACTCCTAAATTTCTCAAATTGCTTCTGAGCTCTTTGAGAGGACAAACAAAGAGAGGAGTAATAGATGGTCAAGCAGTTTGCAAATGGGCCATTTACAAATGGGTCATTTGGGTTTCACACTTATACTGACTCTGAGTGGTTGGAATCAGTCCAGAAGATTGTTATTGTTGGCTTTGCCCTCTTTGTATATCTCCTCTATGGCTTTGGGACTCACCTCCAAAATTTGTTTTTGTCTCTCCCCACATCCTTCAAAGATGACTGTCTTCCCCTTTACCACTGCTTTAAAACCTATACTTTGCAATAGGTTAATAGTACATGTTGTGTGGGAAAAGACTGCGTAACTGGAAGGTTTGGAAAACAAAATAGTTACTGTATCTAAATCCAAGTCACACATTCTCATCTCCCAGGAATATTTTAGTTCCTAAATGCCATCCTCAAGAAAATGCCAGGTTGTAGTGCTTATCTAGTCATTTTGATCTAGACCTTAAGGGTGCAAACATAACAAACATCTCTTTCGTAAAACATACTAATAAAAGGGCATGGGGGAGAAAGAGATATATTTTTTTTATTGCAGTTTACATCCAGAAGGAAAAAGAATTTTGCGAAGAGAAAGTTGTAGATCTCTTTGGTGTTCCCCATAGAAACTTTCTAATCACACCACAGATAGGGAGGCTTAAGGATATACAGTGCTTTTTCCCTCTATGTCATGTGACACATCACTATTAGAAATTTCAAATCACTTACAAAGCTGCACAAAACACTTACAAAGCTGCACAAAAGAAGCCTAACTAGAAAGCTGTGAACACTGGATAGATCTTCCTACAGTTTTCCATTACTTAGGAGCTGAAGTGTCTTTTTTTTTCCCCCTAGGTGATCACAGTATCTATACTGGGATTTCTATAAGCTCAGAAAGGAATTGTAACCTGAGACCCTAAATCTCTGAATGAGGCCCAGCCCTGCATCTGAGCAGGTATACCTTGGCATTGCATGGTGTGAACAGTAATGGCATGCCCTACACACAGACAGGCTCACATATGGAAACTGCCTGGTGTATGACTGAATGCTGCATCCCAGATGTAGGAATCTTCTTCTCCAGGCTTCAGCTCAAGGAGGTGTTTCGAGCCACTGCTCTTCTGCCTGATCTTGTGGCTCTTTTCCTGTGGCAACTCCTGAGAGCAGGGACTTCTTCCCGTTTCCCCTGCTCCAGCCACTCTGATCTCTGCTGGAAGGTTGCAATACCTGCCTCTGCCACTGCTCTAGGTCTCTTCTCATTCTACCTATGTCCACTCTATCACCCACTGTAATAAATGCAGCTTCAGAATTAATTCTGGCACCCAGAGAGCTTCCCTTAAAACTCAGCTAAAAATCCCAAGTACATCATAGAGTGCTAGCTAGACACTACCTAGGATTGCCTTTGCCAGCAATGGGAATGTGAAAGCTGTTATTTGCAAGATGCTACAACATGTTTAAAAGAAAGCAATTTTCAAGGCCAGGCACTGGGATAAGTAATGTTAAAGTCCAGTTAACAAGTGAAGTCAAATTCCAAATTATGTTTTGTTTGGAAACTTGTCTATAGGTTTGAAAATATAAACCTATAGCAGTCTGGTTTACATACTTCATTGCTACTCTACCAAAAGAAAAATCATCACGATGTACACGGAGCTCATGATAATTCCTGAGAAGAGAGGAAAATGTGCAAGATATTTCTAATTTTTATTTTGCAACTACTGATACAACTTTACCAACATGTCTGCAAACTCATAAAAGATATCAAATTCTGCTAGAGCAGGGAGCAAATGAAACGCAAATATTTCTTCAAATCTAAGTTCAACAGAGGCTTCCTGGAGATAGAAATTACCTTTTTTTTTTTTTTTTAAAACAGATGCTCTGGAACCCACTGAATCAAACAAGCATTCATTGGTGGGGGGGGAGGGACTGTGAGGAGACACTGAATCATAGAATCATAGAATTTAAGGGTTGAAATGGACCTTATGGATCATCTAGTCCCAACTCCCCCTGCCATGGGCAGGGCCACCTCCTCACTAGATCAGGTTGCACAAGGCCTCATCCAGCCGGGTCTAGAACACTGCCAGGGTCAGAGCATTGAAAATGTATGCTGCACTTAATTATCCCTCTTGCTCTTTCATAACTTATTTTTATATGTATACTGGAGAACAACTCAGTTCAACAAGCCTTTGGAAATCTAGCTGTTCAAATTACTTCACAAATATGGAAACATATTCGGGTTTTACTTTGTAGTTAATATCTTTAACAAAAGATTTATTTGCTTAGCCTTCCTGAACTGTATTGTCACAGGAAATATCAAGACTTGGTCTTCAGCTATGATTATATGAAGACAAGCAGTTTTTGGCTGGACAGTCAAGGAAATGTCTGGGAGACAGGGCAAGAGGGAATTTGTTGAATGTAAATACTGACCTGTGGAAACCAGCCTGACAAAAGGCCATGCAATTGATATGAGACTTCCAGCCCTGCATTTTCCCAGTGAGAGATTTAGCCCTACTTAAAAACCTGACATCACACTGAAATAATTGCAGTCTCCAGAAATCTAATCTGAGAGAAAATCCCACTAGGAACAGTAATAGTATCCTAGTAAAGTGATAGCAAACCTCATATCAATTTTGCATCAGAAGGATACATGTCAGATTGACACAAGGATGATGGAACATCAGGATTGCGACAGCTGCCAGAATTTATTTCTGAAAGCCTCATTAAGGATGAAATTTTGATATTTGTAGAGTCCGTTGAAAATTACAGTGTCATTAAAATCAGCAAAGAGGGCACCCTCCATCCCAGAACCTTTCCAAATGGAGAGACTTCCTCGTGCAGTGATTTTACAAGAGTGGAAAAAGCCTTTCTTAGGAATTCTTCTGATTAGTACCACAATAGAAAGGAATGTGTGTCTGCAGGGAGTTTGGCACACTAGACCAGACCCTTAGCTAATGGATATTTTTGTAAATATTTAGAGCCAAGTCATGGATCTCCCCTCACTAGAAGTTTCCCTAAGCTTCATAAAGATGAAAGGTATGCTTGAATTTGACTTTACTGCTACAGAGGAAGTATATAGATAATTTAGATGGGCACCAGATGTGGTTTTTAGTGATTAAACCCCCTTCTTTTTACATCAAGAATAAACTCAGTATTTATAACAACGTTAACAAACTGTAAATTGTACACATTCTTAACTCCATCCTGGCTAAAACCAGGACATTTCTTTAAAAACGATGTATTTTAAACAGGAAACAAAGCAGCAGCAGAGGTAGACATGCCAAATAAGTCACTGTATCACTTAAGCATAATCTAAACATGCTATCAATGCATGCACATTAGTAAAATAAAGAAGTAATGAGTATACATGTGTTTCCATAATAAAACCTTGGATGTGCTCTGGCCCAATTTTAGAGGGAACTATGGTCCCATAGTGTAGAAATTCCAAATTCCTAGACTTGTCTTCCCGAAAGTTTAACAGAAAATGGATAACAGTTTTGATCCTGACATGATATGAAATTGTGACCTTGCATGGGGCAAAGGAGCAGAACCCCTGTTGAACTGAGCTGCCTAAAACTGTTGTCTGTGCTTTCTGATGTGTACAAAAGCCATGGAAAGATAGATAGCCAGCTTGTTTTCCCTTGCCATCCCACCACATGGTACACAAGAAAGCAAATTCCAGTCACCTTGCGGATGTGCTCCTGCAGCCCTTTGACCCCATACATCCTCAGCACAAACCAAAGCTTCAGGGAGCGGAACCTCCTGCCCAGGGGGATTTGCCAGTGCTGCAATCAGAAAGAAGAGAGAGTGCCCATGTTAGAAGTCACCATTGCAGTGAGACAGCAGAATCTACACTCTGCAATGATTTTGAAGTGAACCACATTGCCACATCCTACAGGCAGTTGCTAGAGGTGGGTCAAATAATAGTAGAAATATCTAATCCTGGCTAATGCCCTGGTGTGAATGTCTAATACTCATAATTTTCAAATTAAAACTGGGAAAGGATGTTGGTGTCAGAATAGAAGAGTCACAAAGAAAATCAAATTTTCTTTGTGCATCCTGAATTCTCCTCGAAGGCTTTAGAAAAATAAGCATCTTAGAAGCTCATGTACACTGGTTTGTTTGCACTTGTGAGGTTAGCATCTGCAATGACAGACCCATTTTCCATTTCAATACAAAAGTGTTTCCACGGGTTGAAGATTAAAATACAGATGCTTTTATATTTATTTTTTTAATTGTGTTATTCACGATGTTAAAAGAAAAAAAAAACCAAAGCGACAACTTTAGAACACTTCATTCTACTGCCTAACCTTGAGATATTGCAAATGCAAGACAATTTCTGCCTTGAAACAGTTTGTTTTCAATAAACAGAGTTCAAAATTTCAGTTTGAGGAATGTGAAAGATTTAGCAAGCTGCATCCTTCTTGGAAAGAAACAAAATTTGGAGGTTTAGGACAGTAACAGGAAATAAAAGTCATGAAAATACCAGTATATACAAGTAATGCTATGAATTATTACATTGATGCTCTACTTACCCGATAATCTGTTACAAGACCTGGAAATTAAAGGAAAAATGCATTATCACAACAGGCAAAGCTTTAAGTTATTGCAATGCTATTGAAAAAGCTGTATCTTAGCTGTCCTTTACATCTGCTACAGACTTCAGCATTATGGACCACTGACTATCTCGTAGGATACCTGGCAGCATGCTAAATGAAGGTGCTTTTAAGAACCTTCATTCCTTAGCTAGTCAGAATATGCCACTAACAAATCAAAGTTTACAGAAGAAACACAATTTGCTATTATACTGCAGATACTGTGGCTATGATAGACCAAATACTATGTTTATTTTCTTCTTGTAAGGAAAAGAAGCAGTACATAAAACAGTCATTGTTAATTTTGTTTTAAACAATTTGCAGAATCCCCAAATTCACTTCATCACTCATTCTCTCCTGTGAAATGTCACCACCTTTACCACAGTGAACTGGTAACACTTTTAAAAATAAGCCCCTTCTAACTGCCTTTTATACTCACACATATATCTGTTGCTAATTCTTCAGCATGTCTAGTAAGTAACTGGAAAGATTGACTCAGAATTTGACCTCTTCCTGTTTGGAGAATAGTATTCTGCATTTTTTTATGGCTTTTCATTTGATGTAGTGAAAGCCCCTTACAGACTGACTAAGCCACAAAGCAGTGCAGGGAGGCAAGTACAGGGCATTATTAGTTATCCTTTATATAAGCACACAGTGTCAAGGTGCATCTACCTTTTGTTTGAATCAGGTAATTAAACTGATTTCACACTGAATGAAACCGTAACACACTTAGTTACTTGTTATAAGTCAGTGGCATAAATTAAACTGATCTAAAATTTAAAGCACTTGTTTAGGAAGCATCTGTTTAGCTTCCTTATTCTGTTGCATTACTCTGCAGTGGAGTATAAGCTTCATAGAAAAGCATGTACTTGAATTCCCCGGGAAAGTGCCAAGTGTTCCTGGAACTGTGAACTGCAAGGTACTCTACAGAACTGTAGCTTCTGAATTTGACCAGTCTATGTCATAATTTTCAGCCTTTATGTTTTCTAGGGGTTAAAAATAAAAAAGAAAATACTATTCCCAGTGTTACAAGCTCTCTTGACAATGTTCTCTCATCTACGCAGCCAAAACATAGGAAAAATCATGGTCCCTCTTCCCCGTAACTTACAGCCATTGGGTTCTTTATCCTGTTACTAGGTTGGTTTCCAGGTAGAAAAAAAACAAATCCAAACCCACACAGCAACCAACAATCATTAACCTGTTCCTGGACTTCAGGATGTGAATGTGGCTGTCTCAGCTTGGTAACGAGGGAAATTGATAACATTCCTATTCTTCTGCATTGTAGCAGCCATTTTTGTTGGATAGCTGCAGGACTGGTAGCAAAGAGAGTAAAGCAACTGGTGACAGATAAATAATCCTACGCTCCTGGAAGGGGCTATGTCTAATGATCCACAACAACGCCTTTCACAAGCTGTGAAGCAGAACGTAATCAATGATTAGTCCTTGATTACAAGCCTCAGTCTTACATCTGTATTTAACCAGGAGGAGTTGCATTGTGGGAGCCTATGTGGCGTTCACAATAGAGGATAAAGCTGCATTCTTCCAACACTGCCATTAGGATTTGACCTATATCCTGGGTTGCCAGGCAGGCTACTATAATCTTCCTGGTGTGATGATGCAAATCACATAAAATTATAATTAATGACAAAATAAAGACTCTCCCCTTGGGGACGCACATAATTGCCATATGGTATTAAGAGTAATTGCTCACAGATATAGTTTTCCGCTCATTTAAATTCTTGAGTGAGAGATGTGCGAATTCAAAAATGCTTCTTCATTTGCTTTGTAAACCATGATAGGAATTCTCAGACCTAAGACATACTCAAAAAATAAGACCTTCCATTAGACAAGTCATATTTCCAGGAGTGCTGACATCCCATAAATCACACAGGGATCAGTGGGGACTGTAGCACTTTTGTGTAGCAAATTTGCAGCAAATTTGACTATGTTTATTGAAGGCATAAGTGTGGGTTGGATTTAACAGTTTAACTAGAGGCATTTGCATTTGAAAAGTGTTATCCAACTCTGGAAAATTAATATCAAATGGGAATAGAGCTTAGAAAAAAAGTACCATTACCAGACTGCTACTAATCTCTTTGAAATCATTATGTCAGACCACATGACATGCTATCACAGCTTCTGAAGGCAAGATGAAGTCTGAACAACTTTTTATCCAAATGGGGTGATAAAGTTTTCAGGTCAACTAGACGTCTTTACTGAAAGCACCTACTTTTAAGAAAGGTTTGGTTTTCTTCTGGAGTTATTTAACCTGGGAAAAAACCCAAGGTTTGTGTATCAGCACTGTCAGTTGTCACAAGAATGTATTTTCACTTTAGTTAAGGTTGGATTTTTTCTCCTGAAGTATTTTTCAGGCATGTTAAGTAAAAGCTAAGTCCTTACATGTATTTGCTGTAACTTGTACTTTCCATTGAAAAAGGCAAAAAAACCTGCATGTAATTTTTTCTTAACAATTCCAGTCTTTACAGGGTGATCCTCAGCACCAGAATTACTGCATGTTCCTGTTCATTGTACTGTTCTATATTTACGTTGCTTGGAAATGGAGAAGAGGAATAAGATACAAGATTTATGCCAGTTCAGGATTACGGCACAGTAATCCATTTTTCCTAGGACTTTTTAGTGAATGGTGGAATTCAGGGAGTGTTTGCTACTCACATGGGTTTTTGAAAATTTGAATCAGAGCTTGCATGAATAGCAAAGAAAAAGTCACAGATTTTAGAAACTCTAAAAATAAACCAGATATTGAAACTACTCTGGAGAAAGATATGTTGTGGAAGGCAGGTTAAAGGACTTGATACACAGCACCCAATAATATGTTTATCTGACAGCCAAAAAATCATTACAAATTTTCTCAACACTCCTACAAAGAATCAGCTGTAAGTCTGGAACTGGGGAAATCCCATTACAAAAGCAGGTATAAATGCTGTGTAAAATGAATTTCCTTCTATTGCTTTTAACTCACTAAAATCTCACTAGACACATGCTTGCTCTTCAAATAAGCTTAATTCCCTAATATTCTCTGAAAATGGAAATAGGCTCCTACACAACTTAGGTAGTTTTAAGAATTTCAGTTTTCATCTTAATTCCTTTTTTTTCCCATTAATTATCAGTGTGCAAACAAAATAATAATAATCTTATTCAGTTATAAAATTACCAGACTCCTGATGGTGATGCTGCAGGTAAAGAGGCTCTAATTTAAAGGCACCTATTAAATCTGATCTTTTTTTCACCCTGTATGAAAAAGAAAGAAATCAAACTGAGAAATTTAAGAATAGCAATTTAAGGGATTAAATTTCCACAAGAAGTGAAGTCAAATTGAATGTGTTTAAATTGGCATATTTCCTGAGCACAGCCTGTGCCATTTTCAGTGCTTTTTCACAGCCA